CTCTCTCTCTCTTCCCCCCTCCCTCCACCTTCTCTCCTCTGCTCTGGAGATTTGGGTTCAAGGAAGCCTCTGACATGTTGACCGTGCAACTCTGGGCAGCTCACTTAACTTCTGAGACTCAGGTATTGATCTGCATGGATAAAGAGTTTCCTCGCTGAGAGGAAATGAAAATAGAAATTAAATTTTGAAAAGTTAGCGCCACCCAACATGGTATCATTTCCAATCCATTCAGGTATTTATTACAGTATTTACTACCACTGTGGAATGCCATTTGATTTGAGCCCTCAGGTTGAAGTGTGGCAATCAATAAACATTTGTTAAGTGCTTACTATGTGCCAGTCACTGAGGAAAGCTAAGCTGTAAGGAAACAAGATGGCCTTTGCTCTCAAGGATCTCATGGTCTAATGGGGGAAACAACATGCATACTACTATATCGAAACAAGACATATGTGTATCAAGCTTTAGAATGACTCCAGGGAGGCATAATGCCGTTAAAGGTTCCCAGATTTCCAGCCAATGAAGCAACAAGTATTTATTAAATGTTTACTATATGCCAGTCACATATAGGAGAGACAGTCTTACAAAGATCTATATTCAAATCCCACCTCCAACACGTACTGGCAGAGTGACCCTGGGCAAGTCATGTACCTTCTCAGTGGCCAAGACATAAGTTGCAGGACAGTAGCCAATCTCTTTGGGAGGAGTTCTCTAATACCCCGGGGGTTCCCTGCACCAAAAAAAAAAAAAGAAAGAAAGAAAGAAAAAAAAGAAAATCACAGAACCTTTCCTGCTTCCAAAAATATGCCAAGCGTTATGCTTGACTGTGGGAATCCAAAGACAAAAACTGAATAGTCCTTACCCTCAAGAAGATTGTATTTTATTGGAAAACAAGTTTGCCTTAGTTTTCCTCATCTGTAAAATGAACTGGAGAAGGAAATGGCAAACTAATCTAGTATCTTTGCCAAAAAAAAAAATCCCAAAGGGGGTCACAAAGAGTCAGACATAACTGAAAAAAGGACTGAGCAACAACAAAGCCAGGTACACTTGGATACAAAGTGCGTACAAAGCAAATACAAAGTCCTGAGAGAAGGAAGGCACCAGCAGCTGGGGGTCTGACTGGAAAACCTTGTTTGTGGGACAAAGTCAAGTGGCGGGCTGAAGTCCATTTTCCACTAATCCCCAGCATGAACCTCCTGCTCCTGGATCTCACATGTTCGGGCCTGTACTGATCACTTGAACTACTCCCACTGACTTAAAAAAATTATTGTATTTTAAGCTTAGCCGCCCCCCCTATCAAATGATGAAACATATAAAATAAAGAATAAAATGTTGCAGAAAATCTTGAGCATTTAACAGGATAGAAAACAAAACAACAAGGAAGCAGCAAATGTTTTTTGTCGTTGTTGTTGTTTCCGAGATTCCTTCCAGGTCTGTCTGCTAGCTCTGTCTACAATTTTCCGTCTTCTGTGCCACCTTTGAGCTTCCTTAAATAGGCTAGTTTTCTTTTTTCCATTTTTTGGGGTGGGGTGGGGAGGGAATATTGACTACTTGTGATTTTATTAGTGTCGGGAATTTCTCCTATTGCGGCAACTTCTTCTACCCTTCAGATCAGTTCTAGCTCCCCAGTATAATTTACAAAGAATTGGCCTGCCAGGGATCACAGTCAGTAGGTGTCAGAAGCAGGACTATCCTTTCCCTCCATTCATACTGCCACAGCCCCTAGTTCAGGCCCTCATCACCTCTAACCTGGTATATTCAAATAGCCTTCTAGCGGGTAACCCAGCCTCAAGTCTCTACCCACTCCAGTCCATCCTCTCAGCTGCCAAGTGATGTTTCTGGGGAGGTGGTGTGACCATGTAATCCCACTCCACCTGCTGTCTCCCTTTCACTGAGCTCCAGGGGCTCCCCTTGACCTCCCAGTCCTCTGTCTGGCATCATAACCTGACCCAGTCTTACTTTTCTAGCCATCTTACACTCTTCCACATACTTTGTGATCCAGCTTTGCTGCTGTGTTTGCAGTTCTTGGATGAAGACACATCATATCGCCTGCCTTGATGCTTTTACCCACAGGCCTGGACACTCTGTGTTCTCCCCTCCCCCCCCCCCACCACACACACACTTGCAGTTTCCCTGTCTTCATTCAGGACTGAGCTCAAGCCCACCTTCTCCAGCAGTCTCTAGGATCACTTTCTCTCTACTCTCTACATGTTATTATGTGCTGGTTATTTACATGTTTTCTCCCTCGTTAGAATTCACATTCCTTGGGATAGGGATTTTTTTTTTGAGGGGAGGGGGCTTTCTCCTTAGCATGATGTCAGGCACATAATAAGCTCTTAATAAATGCATGCTAACTGACAGACTTTCTGACTCTAAGGCTGACTTTTTTTTTAACCATTACAACTATGACATTTTTGTACTATGTTTTTCTTTAGGGCCGAGAGACCATATATATTCTACTTGTTTGTAAATTCTTTTTTGTTGTTATTATTCAGTTGTTTTAGTCGTGTCCAACTCCACATGACCCCATTTGGGGTTTTCTTGACAAAGATACTGCAGTGCTTTGCCATTTCCTTTTCCAACTCATTTGACAGATAAGGAAACTGAAGCAAGCTGGATTAAGTGACTTGCCCAGGGTCACACAACTAATAAGTGTCTGAATTCAAATTTGAACTCAGGTCTTTCTTGCTCCAGATTCTCTGTCCACTATTCATCATCTAGCTGCCCAAAAAATTATTTAGGAAGTAGGTATTCAGTCAATACTTGTTTAAAATCAGGAGTGAAAGCAGTGACTTGCTTGAGCTCTCCCCCAAACCCCTCCAAATACTCATAAAAAATGGCTCTAAACAAATTCTGAAGCAGCAGAACACACAAAAAGACAGAGTGAAACAAATTTCCAGCCCAAGACAACCTGGATGATTGATCAGAAAGGTGTATCGCGCCGGGCTGGGGCAGCGCAGCGCAGCATGGGTGCACAGGCCGCAGCAAACCTGGAGCAGGCCTCAGAGGACTGAATCGCGGGCAGCTGTGGAGGTTTCCAGACTCCTCAATCCACAAATGCCAAAGACAACTTAGAAGGTCAGTGGGAAAAGTCTGTTTCTGCCGGTGGTCAGAGAGGAAGGTGGGGTCTCAGCTCCATTCCCCAAAAGCCTGGCCGGGGGGCGGAGGGGGGCAGCTGCTTCCCGAGCTTCCAGCCCACAGACTGAGGGGGAATCCAGTGGCTGATCAGAGAGGGACTGCAGGGATCTCTTTGCCAGTGCTCAGGCAGGAATCTGGGTCACAGTTCTGGGTGGCAGTGCTGGGGTGAGGAGGAGCTCTGGCCTGGTAGAGCTTGTAGTGGCTGTAGAGAGGAACCCCTCCTCACAGTTACGGGACAGAAAGGAATACTTGTGGTCACAGGCCAGGAAAGGAGTAAACACCTCACCCCTTATCATACCACCTTGGAAGAACTGAAAATTTACAGGTCCCTACAAGTATCTCTGAAAACAGCTACACAAACCCCTGAAGCTTGGGACAGTACAGTCTCCACATTGGAAGCAGACTCTTACCTTAACAAGAGTTTAAAACTCAAGTAATTGGCTGGGATCATGAGCAAGCAGCGCAAAAAGAGTCAGACTATATTATCTTACTTTGGTGAAAAAGAAGATCAAAATATACAACCAGAAGAAGACAACAAAGTCAAAGCTCCTACATCCAAAGCCTCCAAGAAAAATATGAATCAGTCCCAGGCCTTGGAAGAGCTCAAAAGGAATTTTGAGAAGTAAGGGAAGTAGAGGAAAAACTGGGAAGAAAAATGAGAGTGATACAAGAAAATCATGAAAAACAAGTCAACAGCTTGCTAGAGGAGACCCAAAAAAATACTGAAGAAAATAACACCTTAAAAACAGCCTAACCCAAATGGCAAAAGAGGTCCAAAAAGCCAATGAGGAGAAAAATGCCCTAAAAAGAAAAACTGGCCAAATGGAAAAGGAAGTCCAAAAGATTACTGAAGAAAATACTTCCTTAAAAATACTTGTTTAAGATCTCTGTTGGGTTCCATTATCCGCCTTAATGCTATTGCCTTTCTTCTATTGATTATCCCCAATTTGTCCTGTACATAGCTTGTTTGCATACAGTTGTTTTCATGCTATCTCCCCCTTTAGACTATGAGCTCCTTGAGGGTAGGGATGCTCTTTTGTCATTATTCATGTCCCCAGTTCTCTTAGCACAGTGCCTAGAACATAGTAGGTGTTTAAATAAAGGCTTGGTTACTGCTTCTATCATGATGTCCCTAAGAGGAGAGAAGGAGCGTGTACGGTACAATGGAAAGATTTAGAGTCAGAGGTCCCAGGTTCAAATCTCACTTCCCTTTGTGATCTTGGGTAAGTCCCTCAATCTCCCTGGGCCTCAGTTTCCTCATCTGTAAAATGGGGGGCGGTTGGACTAGATGACTCGAAGATCCTTTCCAGCTCTCTATCTAAGATCCTTTGAAATTTGATGTTCTTCCTAAAGGAGTTATCCTCCCTTACTTCAAGATTTATTTTTTAGCCCTTTCCATTCTGGTAACCTGACCAGTCAGTTCTAGAATATTTTAATGAATAGAATATTCCATTAGAGTTTGGTTGTTATTAACATAACAGGCTTTACCCTAGTTCTTAATAGCTCATTATGCTTAACATCAGCTGAAGTAACAAGCCTTTAAAATTAGACCCAAGTACAACAAGGAAAAGCTTAACCTGTAGAAATACTGTTTGGGCTTATCCAGAAGGACCAGTGAGAAGAGGATCAGGTGATCTCAGCAGAGCAGTCCTCCTGTCTCTCTCTAATTGCCAGTACAAACTAGATAGTACCAGTCTCTTAGTAAGCTGTATGGGTGAGGAGTCTACTGCCATCCATAGTTAGATCTTTTTTTATTTAGTGGTAAATATATTAGGTGTCCTCTCATAAAACATTATCATAAGGATCGCTTACAATATTTTAATTTGAGGCTTCAAAACCAATAGGTTGAGAAGTAGCATAGAGAGCTGGCCTCAGAGATGGGAAGATCTGCATTCAAATTTCTGACATATGCTAGCCAGGGGTCCCTGGACTTAATCTATCAGTGCCCCAGCCCACTTTCTAAGTCTTTATGATTCAGAGAAAGGGTAAATCTGCAATGATAGAAGCCCCTTGCGAAACTACTCAGGAAATCACAGATACTGTCAGTCAATGAGCATTTATTAAACACCTACTATGGGCCCTGAACGATGTGCTAAGCCTGGAGCTACAAGGCAAGGCAAAACAAAAAAACCAGCCAACCCCCCCCCCAAAAAAAAAGCCACCAAAAAAACAAAACCAGTCACTGCCCTCAAGGAGCTCTGATTCTAAGGAGGAGATAATATGCAGACAAAAATAATAATAGCTAGCATTAATTAAGGTTTGCAAAAACTTTAGAAACATTTCATTTAGAAACATCTCACTGTATCTGCTCAGTGTGTGTATATATTGTATATGTGTATACTGTATATGTGTGTATGTATATGCACACTATATATGTAGAGTGTGTGTATGAGTGTATATGTTTGTATATATGTATGTATGTATGGAGAGAGAGAATGAGAGAGAGAGTGCTGTACAAACAACTATGTATATACAATATACCATGTAAATGGAAGATGGTCTCCAAAAGAAGCAGGAGTGTGCTGATGAATGCTTAACAGTAGGCTCCCCAGGAGGGGGAAAGTATGTATAACTCTTTTAAGTTTCATCTTTGGTATTAACATTTTTTCCATCACTTTCTTAACTCCATACAGTCAACAAAACAGTAAGCCAAGCCCTGATTTGCAGCATTTCCAAGGGGTAAATGCTCACTGAACATGTAACAGTCAGAGCCGGTTGAACTGGCCCCAGCACACCACTAGAGGGAAGGAGGCAAGGAGAGAAGGAGGGAAGGCAGTAGTGTTTGGGGGAGGGTGGAACTGGTAAAGATCTCTAGTAAAGGTTCAGATTGAAACTGAGGGAAGCCAGAAGTGAGGAAGGAGGGCATTCTAGGCCAGGGAGCAGACGTGGAAGAACAGCAAGAAAGCCAGTGCCCCTGGATTGTAGAGTAACTCAGAACAGGATAGGAGTAAAGTGTCAGACTGGCAAAGCAGGGAAGGGGCCAGGTTGTGCAACACCTTAAAAGCCAAATAGGATTTTATATTTGATCCTGGAGGTGACAGAGTTTAAACACTGGAGTTTATTGGGGAGTGGGTAGAGTGACACAGACCTTTGCTTTGGGGAAATCACTTTGACAGCTGGAAAAAATATGTTCACTCTCCTGAATCTTTGTCTTCCCAAAACTAGAGGTTGCTATCAGATAGAGGCCTCTATGATTTCTTCATAATACTCAGTAAATTTACTTAACCCCTTGGCTTAAGGGTTTTGATTGTATTCTTTATTTGAAGAGAGGTCAGGAATGACGTGGAGTTTAAGTTCTTTGCTGGGAGAAGTTGAATGGAATGTGGTTGTTTCCAGCATTCTGGCATCCAAAGGGTCCCTCTTAGCAAGCAGTTAGGACTCTTCTCCCCATCTCCTGCTCTGGAGAAAAACCTTTTCATTTCTCCTTATTCATGCTATTTTCTTTCTCCTAAAACAACACCCTTTGGGGAAGGTTCCCTGCCAGGATTTCTATGAGCTCTGCCTCTACAGAGCTCTTGGGTCCCTCTCTGTCTTGTAGTGAGTGAAGAGTCAAGAAGGAGATCTCTCCAGAGACATTCCTCCTGCTCCTCATTACCTTGCTTTGGAAAGGGCCCAGCAAGATCGCCCGTTGGGCTGCTGCCAGGTGGTGAGTGGTAGCTGTGGGCCTAACATGGTCCTAGCCATTCCAGGGAACACCTAAGGTCTCTTCGTTCTTATTGGCTGTGGTCTTTTAGGAGGACAGTGCTTCAAAAGCTCTTGGATTTCAGGGCTCTTTACACCTAAAAGTGAGGGAGGACCCCAGAGAGCTTTTGTTTGTGGAAGTTAGAACTTTTGATATTTGCCACGTTAGACATTAAAACTGATAATTTTTAAAAATGTTCATTCATTAAAAATAATAATAAACCATTATATGTTAAGTAACATTTTTATTAAAAATATATTCCCCCCAGAAAATGATGAGAAGAGTAGCATTGTTTTATTTACTTTTGTGAATCTCTTTAATATCTGGCTTTAGAGAAAGCAGCTGGAGTCTCTTAGCTGCTTCTGCATTCATTTTGTTGTGATATGTTGTTTTGGTTGAAATATTTGCAGAAAATCTTGCCTCACATAGATATGTAGTTGGAAAAGAGAGGAGTATTTTCATGGGTAAATAACATCATATATTTAAATAGTTTTGACCTCAAGCACCCTAAAAGGGTCTTGGGACCCCGCCCTCCCCGCCATGGTTTTAAATCCTTGGCCAGGGGGAATTATTCCTTCACTGAGACTTCTCTTAGTCCTACTACTACTCTTTGAGAACCATTAGTTTTCGGAAGACAAAATATAGCCCCAGGAAACAAGTGAACAAAGACAAGTTCTGCAAAGTCAAGTCAACAGGCAATTATTATGTGCCTGGCACTATGCTGGAGTGTAGGGGGTATTCAAGGAGCGATAGTACCTCTTGCCACCTGAACCCCGATGGCTCTGTGGGAGAGAGTGAGGCTGGTGACTTTGCACAGCCCTCCTCACTTAAATCCAAGTCACTTTCAAGTCATGGCATCACCTTCCTGATGTTGTGGTCCTCTTGGAGACCAAAGGACAAACAACTACAGGAACAATGCTGGCGTGAGGGCTTGTTGAGCCCTTTTGGGGCTTCTTTCTGCCTTTCCTGTCTACCTGGCACCCGACTCTCACTTGTGGCTCCAAGAAGCTGTAGTGTGTGCAGCAGCCACACCCCGGGAAACCATCTGGGCAGACAAGCTAAACCAGATTGAGAGGAAGCAAGGGGCCTCAACCACATGGGTGAGTTAGCGGGAATCTACCCCAAGCACATGAAGACGTCTCCTGGCTGAATCAGTGAATGAAAACAATTTGTTCCAGCAGCCACGGAGGCAGCTGAAGAGGGTGCTGGGGAGCGCTTAGAGCTTGGTCAGGCATCGAAGAGCCAAGGTCACTCACTGCCCCCTGCCACTGGACTTCGCTGGCTCTAGAAGAGAAAGTGAGGCTGAGGACTTTGTGCAGCTCTGCCTCACTTCAATCCACTTCACGCTCGGTCAAGACATCACACCATGATGTCATTGGTCCTCTTTGAAAATGGAGGGTAGACGTCTAACTAACTGGGTGCCGTGCTGTACACTGAGGATACAAAGAAAGGCAAAGTGCCAAGGCACCTGCAGTAGAGAGTGGTGGTGGTGACATTAAGCTCTGTGGACATCCTCGGATCATAGACCCGGAGCTGGAAGACATTTCTGGGGTCATCTTGTTCAACTCCCTCGTTTTCCAGATGAGAAAACAGTCCCCGAGGGGTGGTTAAGGGATTGCCCAGGAAGTGGTAAAAGGCAGGTTCTATACTGAGTGCCATCTGAAGAAAAAAGGAATGTGATTAAGGGTGAGGACATGAAAATCGAGGAAAGAGTGGCCTCGTCCAAGACCTGTTCATTAATCCCTGCCTTTGTAGAAAGGAAAGGGAAATGAACAAACTGTCTAGAGGAGGGGGGAGTGGAAGATGAAATCGGAAAGGGGCTTCTGCCTGCCTCTGACCAGAACTGGTAGAGCCCAGCACGATACATCCTGCTCCTCTCACTTGAGTTCTCCTCCTGCAGTCTACACTTTGGCTGATTGTACCACTGTTCTCTCCTGCCAAGAACCTTGGAGTTATAAGACTCTTCCCTCTTCCTCATCTCGTGGGCCATTTGCCCTGTTTTTGTTCTTCTTTCAGTGCTTGGATGAATCTGCATCCATTTGCACCCCAGCCTGTTCTCCCATCATGTTATATATGGATTGTTGTTCTTAATCTTTCTAAATCCCTTTCTGCCATGCCCTCACCATCCTTCCCATCCTGTATGCTTTTGTCATTTCATTATTTCATTCCTCTGTTCAAAGAATATACAGTAGTTCCCTATTGACGATCACAAGTCTGAATTTCCCTGTGTGGTTTTCAAGGCTTGACCTAGAACATTCTTCTTATTTTCCTGCCCCCACCCCTTCTCCCTCCGTCTCTCATGGACACACATTTTAGGACCTCAGATGATCTAGTTCAGCTTAAGCAAAAATTGAATGTCTACATCTCCAATCTCTGCTAGGATAACTCCAGTGATAGCATCATCTTATCAGCCCCTAAGGCTTCATATTTCATTTTGTTCCGCTTTGTAATTGTTGGGAAATTTTTCTGTATATTTAGCCAAAATGTGCCACTGGATTCCATATCTATTGACCCTCATTTTGCCTGCCATAGGAAAGTAGAACAAGTCTGATTCCCCTTCTGCATAGCAGAGATCACACTCTTGCCTAATCATCTCCTCTCTAGTCTGATCATTCCTAGGTCATACCACAGACATGTGGGGGGGCGGTGCATATTTGCTTGCACCCTTGGGCATGAGGGCATGGAGAGACAGAGGAGGGAAGAGAGAAAGAGGGGAAAGAAAGGAAGGAAGGAAGGAAGGAAGCCATACACCATCATATAATGCAGAAAGTGTCAGACTCATGGGCTGCAAGCAGCTAAAACTCCCTAGAGGCCTGATCCAGATTAAAAATGTAATTGGGAAATATTTAACAAAATGAATTAAAATGCAGCACAAGAAGGATAATGTTGATTTGTGGCTTTCTGCATCCGTACATGGCCCACAGGGATCTGTTTCTAGCTGACTTTGACGCTGTTGGTGTTTCATAGAGAGCACCAGCCTTGGCATTAGGAAGACATGGCATCATAGATTTAGAGCTGGGAAGGACCTTAGAGGTCAATTAGTCCAGACCTCTCGTTTTGCTGATGGGGAGACTGAGGCCCCAAGAGGTTAACTGACTTGTCCCAGATCATAAACCTGGGAAGTGTCTGAGCTGGACTTCACAACTGGTTTAGCACTCTATGTCCAGCGGCACGTTGCCTCTCCAGGATATTG